CTTGTTGATGTACATAGGTGAGATGGTGCATTTAGGATGCTAGCACGGAGGAACCTGTGCTGTACCTGTTTGGTGGACTTCAGACATGCTGGCTGCAAATCCAGGCCCCTTCACCTGCACTAAATGCACTTTAAAAATATGTAACAATGTAAAGTAGACACAGAAAGTGGACAGCATCCTCCTGCTTTGCTGTGTCAGACAGACTTTACAAGCCATATCTCAAAATCCTTCACAGTGTTAAAATACAAATTACAGCAGAGGGGGTGAGACATGCTGAATCGCAGACATGGGAGATGTTTTCAGCTGAGATTTGCAAACAGCTGTGGAGTCAGTGAAATGCAGAGTGGCAGGGCCCCTGTTCTAGATACTACAGAGGAGGTGGATCTTACATCACTAGTAGGGAACCTGCATGAAGAGCCTGGGGCAGGAGGAGGGGAGGAGTGAAGAGAGCCAAGGTCTGTGAGGTTGCAAATCCTTGGAGATCTTCGCAAATCCTTGCAAATCTCCTCTGTGTCAGTCTACTGTTTTCTCCATTAATATAGGACACATTCAGCTTGGATTGTTGGGCCAATGCAGCACAGCCATCAGTGAGATGAATTCGCATTTCCTCCAAGTCAGATATCAAGTTGCAATTTTTCTCCTCTTTTAAATTGTGCAGCATTTTACCTTAACAGGCAATACAAGTCCTGGCCAAAGAATGTGTCCATAAAGTATTCACTGCTCAACAGAAACCAACTGAGCTCTCTGGATGTAATGTGGGTGGACACAAATGACAGTAATCATCCTTAGTGCCTTGATTAGTTTACAGCTTCTGCCTGTTGGATGCACATGTGCCTTTTGTCCGTGGGGCTCTCCAGGCAGAGCGGAGGATGCTGCCTTGGGGGTGGGGGCGGTGGCTTTCAGCCGCAGATATTTTCCCTGCAGTTTTTATTGGAGTAGGTCCAATAACTGAAAAATTGATATTCTGGTTCGGCAAAAATTGTTTTTGAAATCTTTAGTTGTAAAGATGCAGCCTACCAATACATGATGGGACAGGAGTATCAAAATTTGTCTGTTCTTCTTCGAGTGCAGGTCCCACATGGTTTAAACCCTTGGCCCCGAGCAATGCCCCAGAGCCGAGGGAAGGAAAGGGATAGGGTAGATCCATGGTCCCTAACCAAAATTGTAACTCTAAACTATGCTGAACTAAGAACTGAAACCTAAACTAAACCTAACAAAAAAGCTCAGGGAAGCACTTGTGAGGCAAGCAAACGCTGTTCCAACAACCGTCACGGGCGGTAAGAAGGAACTGAAGGGGGGCTGGTCGGCAGGGTCATATATTGAGCACCGTAAAGTCACCACTTGAGGGGGCTCCACGGCCGACCTGACGGGTGCTGCAAAGGGAAAACTTTCTGACGATCGTGCATGCAGTGCGCGCATACCTGATTGGAATGGATATGAACAACACATCTCAAAGAACAACAGTTACGAGAAGGTGAGTAACTGGTTTTTTTTAGGTCTGACCACATTGGTGAGCTGCCCTGGAATGCCACTACTTGCATTCTTCCTCCTAAGCATCCACTGTGGCTCCACGGCTTTTCTATTTAAACATGTTGAGCTTTCCATTTAATTTCTAGAAGAGTTTGTGTGATCTAGAAAGAACTCTGAGCTGCTCTGACTGAATCTTCTTCCCTTGAAGAAGAGAGAGGACCTCATGGCATTAAAACTAAATTATATCAAGGTACCTTTGTTATTAGCAAAATGATTTCATATGATTAGTAGCTATGGCCATGAATCCTCCCTACCAGACCAACTTCAGCTGACTTACTCGAGACAAATAGCTGTACAGGAATTGTGGGCTCATTTAATCACTTCTTTATGGAAAGTGAGTATAGTAATTACATTAATGTTTCAACAAGAAATCACCTCTTGTGATCTTGGACTGAAGTGACCTAAACTTGGAACATGCATTGTGAACATTACCTGGTCTGAAGCACCAAAGCTTCCAAGAGCTGGTTTTGTTGTTTGGCTTTTTACCAAGGACTTGCCACATTCTTCATTTAGTGTGGTGATGAAGTGTGCAAGATAATCACAATCTCCTTACTTTCATTATAAAACTTTACTTGAATTGTCATAATGAAAGCTACAGGAAATTACAAATGCTTGAAGCACGTGGCCTTGCACAGTGATTCAGAGAGTAATTTCAAACAGCTTGATATTTTGCTACATAATAAAAAACGCTTTCATGAGGGTATGATTCTCTGTAAACTTCTCTCCCAGCTGATGGGCTTTTGCATAAAGTGGTGTCTGATTAGAGCTCTGCTCCCAGGGTTTGTGTTTCTGAAATAACTGATTCTGCAAGCTGATCCACATGAGACCCTTTTGCTTGTTAAGTTCATGGGTGCTCTGGATGAGCATGTGGGTCTGCGCGTTTTGCATCAACTTGCCAGATAGGGACCTAAGCAATGATGACACATTTCCTCTATTCCCAGGGCCTGATTGTGCAAGCCTTCATGCACAGCTCTGTAGCTGGAACTTCCACAGGCAGTGAGTACCCATGTCATTTGTTTTAAATTAAAGTTGATATTCTCCCATAATTATCTCACTCCAGGAACTGGGGCTGTAAGAAAAACAGCAAATATCAGAGGTGGCAATGTTGTGTTAAACTTCTGCTCCACTCAAACATCTCTAGAGAAAGCACATAGGTCTGTTACTGGAGAACCCTCTCTATACAAAAGATACACCAGTCCCTGTGTATACAGATCCAGGGAAAGTGCCTTATCCCATGTCCCTAGTGTGATCCAGGGCTGCAGCCCCAAAAGTGACAGCATCAGCAGCACCAGTGTGTTGGTTATCCTCCTCACCTCCCCTGAATTCATGACGTTTTTGTGCAGAGCTAGGTGGCTGCTCTTTTAGAACTCACTAGTGGGGTGAATGTAGCAGCTGCTGTGAATAGAAATGGTCGGAAGTTCCTTCCAAAATGAAGTTTCACCAAAAAAAAGGAGGAAAATGTCCAAGCGATGTCAGTTTTCCTCCAGCTACCATTCTTTTTTCTGTGTATTCTTTTTTCTGCGTACTGCCCCTTTAGATGCCTGCCCTGGGGCTGTAGGGCAGTTCAAGGCGGCAGTTGCAGAAGGAGTCATGCACACACTGTGCTGTTTCTCATGAAGGCTTGCATTTATTTGGTGTTTGTTTTTTCCTTAACCCAGAGAGAGTGCACACTGTGTGGCGGTTAGGTGGTAAAAGGCTCCTTTGCATGGTTAAAACCCAAACAGCAGCTAAATCTAGATTTGGCCATTTGCAAACATAGAAGTATTTGGGTGTTTTGGAGGAAGGAGACCATTGTTTTATTATTTCCAGAGAGGAAAAAATAGGTATGTGACCTAAAATAAACAAACAAAAAAGCTCACAATATTTTTCTCGCCATGCAAGTGGTCCTGTATTTTACAAAAGTGCTATTACAGCATTACTCATGGCAGAAAGAGAATCCCTAAAGATTTTGCGTGGTTCTTGTGTCAGAAAGGAATGCCCAGGATCAATTTACAGCTATAGCCAGAAATCTGAAAATGTCCAGGGAGATCCTGGGAGGAAGCAGGCTTCCCACCCCAAACAACTTCACTGATTTTTAGCTGATTCCACTCATCGCACTGCAAAAATAGAATTTCTGCAGGGACCTTATACACCTTTATACACCTGTTATTTCCTTGTAACCGCTTCTGCCATAAGAATCTAGAGAATTTCAATAATGTTTTGGAAGGGTCGTGAGGGTGTTATTGTCTGCAAGGGTGAAACCTGCCTCTAGAGTGGAAGTCTGTTTCCATGAGTAACTTTTTGCTTTGTTTAGCAAGTCATCCTTTACTACTCAGCTGCAGCTGTCAGCACAAGCCAGGAATTTAGTTTCACAGCTGTATCCCAAACTGATCACTGGGTGAGGTAGTTGGTTCACAAATTAAACCCTGCAGCTGAGAATATTCTTGAGTCCATTTGTCCTGCTGTTGGGTAGCTGCACCACCAGTTGTGTTCTGCCCTCGTCTGTGTGGCACACACAAGATTTTTTTTTGTAGATTGTTTCCAAAGTACTAACTAGAAACTCCTTAAGGAGCTTCAGCTGAATGTTTGTAATGAGAGCAAGGCTTTGTTAATTCATTAGCTCATCCGTTGTATTTGTTCTTTTATTTATTAGTATTGTATTTTATAATATCCATAGTCAATCTTAAACAAGATTGAAGGAAGCATTGATCTGCCCAAGAGAGACTGTTTTACAAATAATGCTGCTGCCTTTTCATGTATCTTGTTCTGCTTTGTAAAAATGGAGAGAGAGAGAGTTAAGCCTCAATCCTGCTAACATTTATACTTGTGCCTCATGGTAAACACATGAGTAATCTCACTGAGTTCAAGGGAAGCACTTGTGTGTGCAGTTGAGCATGTGTTTAAGTGTTTGCAGGACTGGGACCGGTAGGAAGCCTCTCTTGCTACTTAAAGCGAGTCTGTGACTTCCCAGGCTTTTTGGAAGTAGTTCCTGAATGCGGTGGGTGGAACAAAATGCACAGGTAATGCACTTACTGTGACTTGACTAACTCAAGAGTCAGTTGAGAAACTACAGCGAAAGCCTGGGGAAATGTGCTGGCTGTTTGGGATTTACAAAAATAAAACAGGTGCGTTTGTTATCTTGAAGTCTGCACAGAACCCACCCAGCATTGTTGAACTGGCAGCTTGTACCTCTAAACTAGGGAGAAAAGGAGGGGGGGTGCTTTTACTTTGCATGCTTATTCACTTTCTGCAGTCATTCATCTGCTCGGTCTCTGATATGGTTTTCAATAGCTAGAGTCTGGGAAGTGCTTGGCTTTTGAGTGCTGCTCTCTGATTGGCCCAGGGAGAGCTGCTGCTGGAGTATAATGTGTGAATACCATCTGCTGTGAGAGGTTGAGAGGCTCAGTGAATTTTGCTTGGAGAGGCACCTTTAGCCAGGAATACAAACAAGGGGAACAAGCTTTTCTTTCTCCTTTCTGATCCAGTCTCTCAGCGGGGGCTGGATTTTTCTTTTCCTCTCACTGCGAAACTTTTCTGCTTCGCTGGAAGAGTGAGGAGCTTGCACCTCTTCTTCCCTGCCTGGGATTCTTGCTCGTCTACGGAGTGGGGGAACCAATACAAGGCTGCATGTCCTTAAAACTTGTTTTTTTGGCTCCAGCTCTCAACATGAAATGGCTGAGTTACTATGGGATGTTAGTTCCAAACATCTGACTTGCTTTTAAAGGTAAGTGATTGGGGACCTCTGTATTTTAATACTAGCACCCCCCTCATGCATGAGATTTTTTCTGTTTGGGGGGGAAAGCCCCCCATATGTAAATGGACAGTTGCCTGTGGCAATGGCTGAGTTGATCAAATAGTGTGTGTTGTCTCAGAACTTGTGTAATCAGCTCTGTGAAATCAGCAGGACTGGAGTGATTGCTAGCTTTGTTTTGCAGTTTTGCTCTCTTGCATAGGAATTATTGTCCTGAAGGTCTTAAAAAAAACCCAAACGTTTCACTAGTGAAACAATAGTGACTGCTGATCATTATGTATGTTCAGTGTCAATGCAAAGAAAAGTGTCTCAAGACTTTGCTTTCTTTTATTTTAACAAAAAAATGTTATGATATTTACAAACAAAACATACCAGTAGGCATTAAAAAGGCTGGATTTTCAATAGCCCACGTTTGAAATCAAACAGAATCAACTTTACCCTGACTTGAAGAGGGTGGAATCTGATTTATTTTTTTTAGCCTTTAAAATGCTGAATAATGATGACCTGCTAGTGTGGACTGATAATCGCAAAAGATCAAACTGCAGCCATCTCCCTTTGCCTGAAACCACAGGCTTGACCCTAACCTGGGGGTGGAGGTAATAGCAGTCCAGACAGGCCCCCAGTGTGCTAAGCATGCTGCTTCAGCTCTGCATAGTACTGCCAGATTTATTGTTTTACACTCTAATTAGTGATCTTTCTTTATGAAGGTAGAGTTCAACCAATCACTTGTGTCAGGCACAAGGCAAGGTCAGCTAAGGGAGTGTTTGAAATATTGACCTTTCATAAAATCCCTACATTCCTCCTGTAACTAGATTATGCAGTGTTACTGTCATCGGTCTCTAGTAAAGGCTTTAAATGGCAACCTGCAAAACACTGATAGCATGTACTTCTAATACATCAGGTTTGCTGCAGGCTTTAGTGTAACTTTTTTCTTCTGACAAAATGCCATTTTCTAACTACTCTTCCTTGCCACTATGTTACACTTTGCCCTGTGTTTTAAGCTGACCTTGTCAGAGTAACGTTCATCCATCACTATATATTTTAAGAGAAACTCAAATAAATATTAAAGCTTATGAGATGGGGGAACAAGGGGTTTATATATTTGAGACTTGCTCCAAACTACACTTTTCGGAGAGTCCCTTTTGTAACAAACAAGGAGGGGGAAATCCCTTACATCCAAGCACCCCCCTTGGACACAAGTCTTTTGAATGCCAAACGTTTTTAATGCAGTGGGTCACAGGCTGCAGTTTCAATCTTGACAGTTTTTAACTTTTACCCTAAAAAATTTTTTTAATTCTTTGAGTGGCTCTGCATATTCCCACTTACGGGTAATGGTCAAAGGTGCTCTGGTCAGCATATTACTCCAAGGTCAAATCTGCAGGTTTGATCTCAGAACTCTGGTTACAAGTGAATGACTTTTTTTATTTCGAAACAAAATATTGTTTCAAATGGGAACTTGTGTTTTGACAGTTTCAAAATGATGATGTGACAACAATTTTGAACCTAATTAAAAAACTTTTTTGACTTTCATGGGAACAGTTTCTGTTCAGATGAATCTGCATTTTCTGATTTTCACTTTCTGATTGTTTCATTTTCTGCAATGTTTTATCAAAAATTTTTCAACCAGTTCTAACCTTTTCAGCCAACCACATGCAGCTGATGACAATATTATTTTCACTTGCTATTTACCACATGCATATATTGCTGCTCCTCTCCTGTGCCCACAGTAGAAATTTTGCCTTCGTGGCCATGGTATTCCATCATGGTTTAACTGAGCTCTGCCTCATTGCGTAGGGTAGAGCCTCTCATTCTGGGAATCAAGATTCACACCCTGTATAGAAGGGTGTGCCCAGCTTTTCCACCTCTCCTCCAAAAATTCCTGCGATAATACCCCAAAATTCACTGTTGGTGGAAAATCCCCCTTTTCCTCGGTGGATGAGGAAGCAAAACGCTTCTCATTGCGTTTTCTGTTTCTGAGGTGGCCGCGTATGGACCTGTTAACATAGCATGTGAATGTCTTGTGGTCTTTAATGTATTTACCCTCACAAGACTCTTGTGTGTTAGGCTCAGTTGCCAACTTTCACGCAGTAAATAAGCACCCTAACTTTCATAATAAGCCAAAAATCAAGCTAATCCCATTTCAAAACAAGCCAATGCCTAAGAACCCCAATACTCTGTGACTAGATCCCCTTGGCATGCAGTCTGGGACTGTAGTGGGCCTGCTGTGCACACCTGACTCTTCCCCCTGCTTGCTCCTTATCCCTGCTTCCCCCGCTCCCCCCCCCCTCCCCAGATCAGTACTGAGGACCTGGATCCTAGGACCCCACTAGGTGGGGTGGGTCCGAGCTCGACCCCTACTGTGACATGGGTCCAAGCCCTGTCGTTTTGCAGTGTGGACGCAACTGAAGATCTGTGTAAGCACAGCTGTGAACCCAGGTCCAGCCACTGTGAGCCCAGGTTTACAGCGCAGTGTGAATGCTCAAGCACACATTTGGAAATAAGCCCAGGTGCCACAGAGCTTGGTCCACAATGCAGGGTAGTCACACCCTGGATGACTTGCCCAAGATCCCACTTGGAGCCACGCAGAGGACTTGAACTTGTGTCTCCTGAGTACTAGGCTAATGCCCTAACTACTGCGCCATCATTCTGGCGTCATTGCTGTCCTCTCCTTCTAATTTTTCCCAAAGAAATCTTCCTTCTGGGAGTAAACCTGCCATTTATCTGTATGAAATGCCTGTAAAAATGGTCAATCTCAGAGGGTATTTATTTACTGGTCGATTGATTGCAGACTGACACTCTTGCCTGGTTGGAGACAAAATTTTGTCAATTTCACCACAGGAAGCCATGTTGTCTGGTTAAAATGACAAGCTTGCCCATGCTCACCAAAATGCACATTTGTCATAGGTGTATGTTCTCAAAGCGAAGCTCAACAACTGTCATATGTACCTACCCCTCCATCACTGTTCTGGCGTGGTTAGTTACCATATCCTCCTGGGGACCTTCTTGTCACTTAAACCACAAAGAACGTGAGTCCCACTATACAATGTTTGGGGCCAGGAGCCGGGCTCAGTACATGGCACTGATTTGCCGCTTAGGTTTCGATATTTGTAGCCCCAAGCCTGAGTGTTCATACATTTGCCTTGACATTACTACTATCTCTATAGATCTATCACTGCTATTTATATCTGGCTTTTTCTATAATCCAGTATTTTGTTGCCAAGAAGTTAAGAATTTAATAGCTGCTATTTTTGAGGGACTCTCAAAAATGTGTTTATGCTTTTGGGACTTCCTCTGCTCAATCTATATCAGTATGTAACAGGACAGATGCAGTTCCTCATCTCGTAATGTGCATCACCTGTGCTTCTGCTCCAACAATGAAGTTAACAAAAGATGGCCATGTTGCCTCTATTGAAACTCAAAGGTGGGTGCAGAAATCCAGTGTGTTTTCAAAGCAGGAAAAACACAAAATAGGTAGGACGAGAGATGTTGAGAGACAGGGGACGCTAGTGGCAAGCACAATGAACTGGGACTCAGAAGAGTCCTGGGTTCTGTTGCCATCTGACTTGGATGAATCACTTCCCCCTTCTGTATCCCTGTTTTCCCTTGCAGCCATTGTCTTGTCTTATTAAATAGTATCTCTCCAAAGAGCCTAGAATGGGTAACTATGGCTTTCACAGTGACTAGCACAATGGGGCCTGAATCTTAGCTGGCCCCTCTGGACACAACCAGAAGGATTTATTTATGTTGCTTACAGCCTTCTGAAGGGGTTTCTCCAAACAATGATGGCTTGTTGTTTGTTTTTAAGATAAATTATGAAAAGATACCTTTTCTAGCTCTGGGCTGTAAAATAATAATAAAACGGCTTTAATTTAAAGTTGGGCTTTTTTTAGTAAGGTAGGAATAACTTTGATTAAACTTCCCAGAGTAACTTGTTTAGCCGGCTGCATTAAAATCAAACTTGATCCAAACTTGAGAGCTTTTGTCTGCTGTTTTTGGAAGGGTTTTTTGGTACTTTTCAAACCAGAACATAATGCTTTGTTCTGTAGTCTGAGAGCTAGATGGGATTGGTATTGGTTCCAAGGCACTGACCATGTTTGTACTCTGCCTTCTGTTCCTGCCTGGATGCCCTTTGTGATTGGCACTGTCAGAAATGGAAGGCATCTATCTAAGCTCTAAAGGCTGTATCTGGGTGTTGTGCCAAGAGCAACAATGGAAGATTAACCAGCAAACTGTGTTAGTGACCCTCTCGACCATGAACTGGAGACTTACACATCCTTTATGGGGTAGAATTAATTTAGGCTCCAGAGTGCTTGTTTCTGGGCCTCGCTTAACCAAGACTATCAGTTGCCAGACTAGTGTGATGATGGCCAGGGATGGGAGGTGATGCATAGAAGGGTAATTCCATGAAGGCTGTGGGCTGAACCTGAAGTACAGTGCAGAATGGAAAGCCACTAAATTGCAAAGTGCTTCTCTGAGGATAGGATTCTTAAACTTGTTAAGTAAGACCAGTTTGCTCAGGGAAACTGTACTGTGTGCATCAGAACCATCTTTAAGTGGAAGATGTGGGAGGTAGAGTGCAAAGCGTACAAAAATGAGGGTGTTTCAAGGGTTTCTTATTCAAACTCTTTCCAATGTGCTTAGTGCTCCGATCACCATCTGCACAGCTGCAAAACATGATGACATTCATGAAAAGAGGCTTCCCTGTCTTTAAATTACACAAGTTATACTTTCTGTAACACAGAATTTAAGACAAAACTACCATTCCCTGCAAACAAGATGCATTATGTAACTGCAGTCTTTGTTCATGTATCTACCTGAACTAAGTTGAAATGGTTCTATGACCGTATCGTAGGAGCTAAGCTTATGGAATTAGGTCAAACAACTTGCCGCTGGGCTGCTGCAGAGAGCATGTAGAGGCGAAGTATCTAAAGAGGGCGGCCTTTGAAATACCCCCGTGTCTCAGTGGAGAGGGA